TTTTTTTTTTTTAAGAGAGTAACTTGTCAAGTGTTTCACTTTCTCCAGTAGTGGATGTGCTTTCTAAAAGTGATATATCAAGGCCCTACTATAATGTAGTATTTCCAAAAGATTATTTATCTAATAATTCAGATTTAAACTATTTGTGTTGTTCTGACACCACAAAGAAAACTTTTATAATTCCATTTCATTTCTGACTTGTTATTTTATTCTCTATGCCTTTATAAGCACTAGAAATTGAAGTTATTTACATGAAAATAAGATTTTTCTTTTATCTACTAAAGATATGTTTTTAAAATTTATTTTCTGTCACTCTGTAGAGGTAGAACTTGAATTATCAAAGAGTAGAACTATAACTTCAAAAAGAAAAAATGGCCAATTTAGTTTAGCTCCAGAGAGCAGTTCACAAAAGATGGAGCAGCAGCTTCTAAGTAAAATTTGTATTCATCTTTAGAATATCATTGTCATTCTTTCTCTCTCTCTCTTTCCCTCAATAATACTTTTAAATTCTAACCTGAACAGGTGGTGACAGTACTTTCTTAGCATAACCTGGACTGTTGAGGAGTGATGTTGTTCTTAAAAACCCTGGTAGAGGACCTCATGGCTGACTCTAGGGCTGGGGCAGAGAAAATACAAAGATGAGCCTGGAGAGTAGTATCTTGAATTGCCAGAATGTAAATGCTGAAAATAAGTATGTAAGTAAGTAAAAATGGAAACAAATTAAAAGGACACTGGAGCCAACCTAAGAGAATTCCCAATGCCGAAACTGGAACAATTTGACCAGCAAAAGAATTGACAGAAGGAGTTTATTATAAGCCAAAGAATAAAATAAATATCCATGAGTTCATACTGGTACAAATAAGCAAATAAATAAATGAGGGAAATGGGACAAGTGTTCCTTGCAGAAAAAGTCCAGATAATAAATGCAGAAGAGATGGAGAAAAGAGAAAACCCCCATTAGAACACCACAGGAATAATTGCTGTGGGCAGAATTCACAGATGAATGCTGAAATTAACGAGCAAAACTTTAAGGAGAAACAGAGTATTTGCATAGTCTCAAAATATCTCTCTCAAGAAACTTAGTAATGTCTGTGGTGGTTTTAATAAATGTCCACAACTTTTTGGATACTCTTCCTTCCAGGAAGTGGAGCTTACTTCCCTTATCCTTGAGTGGGGCTCTTTGTTCATAGTGACTTGTAACTAACCCACAGAGTATGGAGAAGAGAACAGTAGTAGTAACTTTCCAGTAGTGAAACGTGGTATATACCATCTTAATGAAATGCTCAGGGATAGCATCACCAGTAGTAAATCATGTTGCTAATATACCCTCCCCCCAGATATTACATAACGAGAAAGGCACTTCACCTCTTGGCGTTTGTCCCCCAAATCTACAACCTCAGTCTAATCATAAGAAAACATCAGAAAATTCCAACTTGAGAGCATTCTACAAATACCTGACTAGTACTCTTCAGAAGTGTCAAGGACGGTCTGAGAAACTGTCACAGATCAGAGGAAGCTAAGGAGACATGATGACTAAGTGCAGTGTGGTTTCCTGGATGGGACCCTGGAACAGATAAAGACATTAGTGGAAAAACTGAAGTCTGCCGTTCAGTTAATTGGTGTACCAACATGAATTTCTTTGAATTGATAAGTGCACTGTGATACATAAAATGTGAACACTAGGGGAAGCTGGGTGATGGGAATACTAGAACTCTCTGTACCATCTATACACAGCTTTTCTGTAAATCTAAAATTATTTCAAAGTTAAAAGTTAAAAATAGAATCACAACAACTCACTGATGGACTTCTCAGTCTAAGGATATTTGTTATTTTAAAGTGTCTCCAGAGCAAATTAATTCAGAGAAATGCCCCACCCCTCAAGCCTTTGTGCAGTCTCTCTATAAAAGAAAGATGAGCTTTAAAAAAAAGATTTTATTTACTTATTTATTTAAGAGAGAGCACAAGTGGAGGGAGAAGCGGAGAGAGAGAGACAAGTAGGTTCCCTGCTGAGTGCAGAGTCCAAAACAGGATTCACTCTCATGATCCTGAGATCATGACCTGAGTCAAAAGCAAGAGTTGGATACTTAACTGACTGAGTGACCCAGGTGCCCCAGCATGAGCTCTTTATAGGAAAACAGCTCTCCTGAAACAGGGACAGTAAGTTACAGAGTTTCATCCCACCACTAGAAATAGAAATGTAACTTAGCCTGCTCAGGAGAGGTCAGTTCAACCAACACTGATGGTTTGCCTTTTGTAGGTATATGCCTAGCACTTAAGTTACAAAAAGTAGTCTCTTAAGAATAGTGCAGAGCGGAGCACCTGTGATTGTACCTGACTCTACTGTGGGCTCTTTATTGCAGGTATTATTATTGAGCTGCTAATTTAAAAATCTCCAGAGATATTAGGGGTCACCTGGGTGGCTCAGTGGATTTCAGATCAGGGCATGATCTGAGGGTTGTGAGATCAAGCCCTCTGTCAGGATCTGTGCTGTATGCAGAGTCTGCTTAAGATTCTCTCTCTCCCTCTGCCCTTCTCCACCCCCCTTCTCTTTGTCTCTCTCTCTCCCTCTCTTTAAAAAAAAAAAGAAGCAAACAAACAAAAAACAAAAACAAAAATAACCCTCCAGAGATACTAGATCCAGTTTCATTGGATTGTCTCTTCACCTCGTTTTATTGTAGATTAAAATAGTATAAAAAGTATGGTACTCAACAAGATGGATACATGAACAAAATATTTTTCAATATAAAATACATTGTATATTGCTCTTTAAAAAAACAGTAACATTCATTAATTCAGTATAATAGTACAGGTATGAAATCCTGATTTATAAATATTTTATTCTTATTACTTTCAAACTCTTATTAGTTGATTATAGAAGGCTTAACAGGGTCTTGTTTTAGTAAATAATAATATGTACTTGGCTGAGGGTGGTTACTGTCATAGAATTAGAGTTTGGATACTAAAATTAAAGTCCTCCCCTGTATGGCACTCATTCTCTTGATCTGACCATTAGTGACAACTGTCTTTAGTTTGTACACATATGAGAAGTATTATTTCTGTCAGTTAAATATATCTTACTACCCAACCAAATGAGTACCTTGTAATGTTTCTACCTTGGGAATATAACTGATGTGATCAGAAGAACAACGAATTGTTCTTGAACGTGGATATACATTTAGGTTACAGCAGTGGCAGACGCATGCATTTTTCAGAACGCTGTTTCCCAGTTGTTGTTAATGCATGCCCAAACAGATATGCAGATAGTTAATAATGCTGCTTAGTTGTTGTAGTCAGATTGAGCAGCACATAATTTATAGCAAATCTGAAACCAGGAACACAAGAATGATGAGCTATATGATAAAGACTTGCTAGGATTGCTGGTCAAGTGAAAGTACCGACTGCACGTTGTTGATACAGGCCTGTCTTGTGTAGTACCTATGATACAATTTTCTTGACACCTGTTTTCAAAGCATACCTTTCCATGTCATCCTGGTTTCTTTGGTGAATTTACTTATAAAATGTTTTTTGTTTTTGAAAGCAGTATGCAGTATATTCTTTCCTAATTTTAATTTAATTAAGAATTTTACTGGTTGGCCATTATGTGCCAGATACTCATTTATTATTCATCCAGGGTTCTGGTAAATTAGGAACTCCTTTGCCCACTTTAGAAATTATAAAATGGAGGCTCTGAAAGGTTTAGAAACTCACCTTTGTTAGATCCTACATGTGATAAATGTGGTTACCTAGCTGAATGAGTTGCCTAATACTTAACTATAGATAACGTATCAAAAGTAAAAGGAGAGGGGAATTGAGATTAGAATAATGAGTATTTGAGAATAATTTTAGCAAGTTTGCTAAGTGGAACATCAGTCTTTTGGGCATGTCTGTTCCACAGCCACTGAATGCATTGGTCCTGTTGGATTTGATGAAAATGCAAATAATCCAATCCAATGTAATACTCATTAAGGGAAAAGGAATACAATTTGATAGTATTTATGAAGACATGCACAGCCTAATCTGTGAATTGAAAGCATCTTTTAAAAATTTGCTTCCCTTCATATTCCTAGGTGGTATTGAATCTGTGGGTAGAAAAATGAGAGCATTTCAAATAATGCTAATGAAGTTTAAATGATTGCAATCTACCATATTGTGAAGAAAAGTTGTTAGCTGTGAAAGATGAGGACAGAATTAAAATATTACCATGACTGGCATTTGATTTGAAAACTGCAAAGATAAGCTTAGGTTCCTATTTATGAAAACTATCCTCACAGCCTGATGAAATATCTTTTAAAAGGTTTTATAGTTACCATGGATACTTGTTAGCTTTGGTAGAGTAAGTTGTAATTCATATTCCATCATCTGAGGTGAAGGAGCCAAAAAAGCCACCCAACTAAAATCTAAGGTAGCTTCATCTGTATGTTCACAGTAGTTTGAAGAGATGGAAAGGGTAACTAACCCAAAGATTAGAGTTTGGGTTAGTTGTTACTTCTTGAAAAGCAAAATATTTAGCATGCACATTACCTGGATCTCATCCTAATGTTTACTCTCTATGTATAACTTTTTCTTTCAACTGGTGAAGGGAACTTCTTAGATTGTGACGTAGGAATCTAGATGGTGAGAGCCTTCTGAATGCTGATGAACCGAAGCAGCTTCCTCAATTTCTGAAAGCCATAGGGACGCAGAAATATTGAAGGCATTGGTCCCTATGGAAACATATTTGCATTTGGCCCAGAAGTGGCTGGTTTCTGCTTAGCCTCTTGTAATTGCTATATATTGACAGCCGTTTTCATGACTATTTTTAAAATGTCGGATTAATGAGCATGTGTACAAGGGAGTGCACACCATATCCTTCGGCTTCATTAGACACTTCGCATGACAAAAAGCTCTGCATGAAGAGTTACTGAGGTGTTTTTGGCATTCCCTAATGTGTCTGTCACACAGTGGAAGCAAAAAGCCTTTCAAATGATTTAAATATTTTCCTCAATTCTCTTTTAAAACAGGTGACAAAAGAACTAAAACAGTATAACAACAAAATTATAGAATGCAAATTTGAGAATAACAGCTGGGTCTTCATGAGACAGAGAACAGACAAAAGTTTTCCTAATGCCTACAACACTGCCATGGGTGAGTATGACAACCTACCGTTGTTTGTTACATTAAGAGAGAGAGAGAGAGAGAGAAAGAGAGAGAGAGAGAGCGCACACATGTTAAGGTTTATAATCAAAATGTGTTGTCTTTGGTGTTCTGCTTGATGGGGCACAGGGTCACTCAGACCCCTGTCCTTGCTGGCTGTGAAAGGGGCTGTGACTGTCAGCTCCGGCTGGCTTGTAGGTTCCCGTCTCTAGGCCTGTGGGCTTGTTCCCATGCACCCAAAAGAGAAGTGTAAAGGGCAGGATAATGGGCTGTATACAAGTTGAATTTGTTGAACAACAACAAAAGCCATGATAATTTCAGATCTATTCAGAACTATAAAAACCATTGTTTGCCAGATGGTAAAAGACAAAATTAGCAGGGGGAAAATGTAATTTCCAGCTCCTAAAATAGCTTTACAAACAATGGCGAACAAAGTAAATGAAAACCATTAAAAACAAAACAAAACAAAAAAAACCTCCTAAAACCTGCTGTGCTGTCTTTCGGAGAGTTCTTTGGGTACAATATAAATGCTTTGGGAATTCAGAATAGTAAGTTTATTTCATGGAGAACAACAGAAATTAATTAATTTTATAAGGTAAACCTTATAGTAGCAGTAGCAGTTGTTGCTCTGGATTGCATTTTTAGTGAAGCTGGGGAAAAAAAAAAAAACCCAAAATGGATAAAAACCAAGATTAAAGGTTAATAGAATTGTGTGCCTTTAGACTGCTCAGTCAGTGATGATGCTGCTTATATGATAAGCTTATGAGAAAATACAGAAATTGCCAGTTTCAGTTTTGCAGTTTATGAAAGTTACTATTGTACATTTAAAGGTTCTGTTGGAACTAGCATCTGTGTTCAGACAAGATGAGTTAATTTTGAAAATGGGAAAAATTAAGCCACTGTCCTCCCCCCACCCCCAAACTAGATATGTAAATACAATTCACAGGACTGGTGGTCAATTTTGATCACATAAGAAAAGATGCCGTATTTATTCATAATTTTATTAGAATACCTTACTTATCTCAAACAAGTTATTAAAATAAAATAGTACAATCTGTCTGCTCCAGTGGAACCTCCCTGTTCAGTAGAAACAGTGGCGGGTGCCTTCATGACAGTGGAGTTCCTTCTGACAGATGAGACTGGAGGATGGTAGCACATGGTTTCTGTAGACGTTTTGGTTGAGTATAGACTGTAGCATGATGCTCTGTGGTCCGTTAAAATCCTATGAAAGCAGTTTCGAAGAGGGGGAAAACAATAGTGATGGAGTGGTTGTAATTCAAATACTTAAAGTTTTGGTTTAAAATTAATGGTACAGGAAAGAGTATCCACCAGAAGAGCACTCGTTTCGGGGGCAGGGGAGGGCAGAGAGTCGTTTCATGTGTGAAGCCTGTCACCCCAGTCGGTGAAATGAAAGTGTTCAGCCTGTCGGGACGAAAACCTTTCCCCTTTCGCATCTCCCTGCGGTGCGTCAGCTGCCTTAATTAACCCTCACGTGAGACACGTGTCTCCCTTTGTCCACAGCTGTGTGCAACAGCATCTCCAACCCTGTCACCAAGGAGATGCTGTTTGAGTTCATCGACAGATGTGCAGCAGCTTCGCAAGGGCAGAAGCGGAAACATCATCTGGACCCCGACACAGAGCTCATGCCTCCACCACCTCCCAAAAGACCTCGCCCTTTGACCTAAGACCCGCCCCTGACTCAAGGATTGAGAGGAAAAATGAGTGGGAAAAGATGCTGTTGCCCCATTTTTGCAGCCAGAGAAATTGGAAAAAGAAGTGTGGCTTGATGTTGATACACATTTTGCATTTAAAAAAAAAAAAGAGTATTGTAGCCAGCCTGTAAATATTTGATGCATTTGTTTCCTCAGTGCTGCAATACCTCGTGGACTTTAAACGTTTTATTTATATCTGATAAACTCAGCCTTACCTTGTGAATCTGAAGATTGAAATATCCAAAGGTTTAATCGAGATTGAAATCAATGAAAAAGAGGCCTTGTTTGTATATGGATAACTTTCACCTTTAATTTATAAAGTTAGGAATCTGGAACTGTGAGCGCAGAAAACACTGTATTTTTTAGAAGTTGTATTTCAACTATGATAAATTTTCCTTTTCAAAAAAATCTAGGCAATGGCATTAAACATTCTTGCTATCATTTATCATGGATTTCCTACATTTCTGAGATTCTTGTATTCAAAATCAAATGACAAGGTTGTTAAGTGTTGTACTATATGGAACACCTTGGTCTGGCTTATATCATTTTAAGTTTTTTTTTTGAAATGTTAAAGTAAAAAAAGTAAAGCCCTGTTTTTGTGAGTTGCATCCTTTTTAAAGGAAGTATATTGAGTATTTTCATGTTTCTATTCTTGGAACTAAAATATCAGTGATCCAGTGTGTCATTCTGGCAGTGGTTTTGAGTTACTTCCTAGAACTTAGATATCCACCACCGGGTCCCTTTTATGTAGTGTTCTCCTGGGAGACTCCTTTTTTTTTTTTTTCCTTTTAAAAGAGCCAGGGCTACTTCTGCTTTACCTCCGTGGTATCGGCACATTGTAAATTACATTAAAACACATAACTCACTGTGATTATGGGAGTGACATCAAATACAAACGATGTTGTGTTAGTTCCCTTGAACAAAATGGCAAAGGACATGCCAGCTGACTCCTTTGATTAGAAGGTAATGCCCATGGAATAGAATGCTGTCACTAGAAGCCGCTCTCCCACTGCTAGATAAATGCGGAGGCAAAGAGTAGACATCTGTAGGAACTAAACATCAAGGAAGCCAAGACATTGATTTTCAAAGCCAGAATTCTATCTCTGTTCTGTGCTGGGGATGCTATTTCTGTTACACACCTGAATTTTACAACATTTACTGATAGATAATGGATTTAAAGAGCAGCTAATTGGTCATCTGCCATTGTTGAGAAGTTGTGTTCTGATTGGCTTGTGAAGGAACTCTGAGAATTAGCCTACTAGAGGCTAAGGTATTTATTTTTAGAGGTACAGGTTTTAAGTATGTATATTTAAAACAAATTTTCATGATCTGAATTTTATATATGTATATGCATATACATGTGTCAGTATATGCATCCGTGGATATCCTTCTACTAATACAATCAGACATGAAAAATGCAAGAGTTACCCAGCAGACTGAATATCTGACAGGATTTCTATATGGTATAGCACAGATTAACCAAAAATGTATTTACATTCACCTGCGTTTTGATGTTTTTAAACAAAGTTTTCTCCTACAGTGCTTTTCTATATGAAATACTAGAGTCACGCTTGGGCTTTTTCCTTTGTTCTTTCCGAGTTATGTAAGTAACGCTTAGTGAATGTATCCAGAAGGTCATTTTTGTATTTCATTTCTAGAGTGCTTTTGTGAGTTTGGGCACTAAAGGGATTAAAACACCTGACTGCTGCAATGACTGCTGAAAGGTGGAAATTTGTCAAGGTTCTGTAGTGTCTTCTACAAAATGGGTCTGAAAAAACACCTATGCAACTCCGGATAGTCTGACGCCTGCTTCACCAGGATTAGTGACTCGTTTCACCTGATAGGTCGCTTTCCTCCAAGCCTGTATAAATGCAGAGCCCTTTTGCAGATATAAGAGCTAGTTTTTGCCAGTGATCTTTAATGGAGTTAAATGTTTATGGTAATTGTAACCTTTTAAATTGAGTTATGTGAAAAGAGCATCTCATTTTTAATACACCCAGATATTTTCCCCCTTGCCTTTGTGCATTTTCCAGGACTTAATTTTCTTAATTTGTTCTTTCCTTTCAATTTCAGTGACGTATAATCGCCGGCCTGATAAGTAGATCCCCTTTGGCCCCTGAACACACTGTCATCTGCAGTATCATAAAAAGTCATCTAGAAAGTCAAGGGGGAAAACCGAGAGGCAGGGGTTGGGACAGCAAGAAGGAAGGAACCCCTTCCCTTGTCAGCCCACTTCACTGTAACTATTTCTGACACTGAAGTTTTGTAGAATAAGAAAACTTTGCTTTCCTGAGTTATCAAATATAAAAGCTTTTGCTTTGAATTTGGAGAAGATGTGGATGACTCGACTGCCTGGATGGTTACATTTGCTTTCCGTGAAATGCTCAGAAAATGTCAGGACATTCCTTCTCTAACTGTGTGTCCATGTGGATTGTAATAAAACTACTGATTTAAAATAACAGAAAGTGTATCCACTTTGTTTTGTGTCCCTTTATTTGACTAATGATCTCATGTCCTTTCTGTTGCTGCATTGTCCTGTCAGCCATGCCCCATCGTAATCCATCTGGTTTTGTTGTTCTAGAATTAGCATAAAGACTTGGAAAATCCTCTGTTTTCTTTCTGAGAAACCAAGAAGTTGGATTGACCTGGGGGGGTGCAGTTTGCACCTTTTCTTTTTGGAGTGTAAAAGAGTGGGGGGAAGCACAAAGCACATCTGTAAATGATACTTACTATATTTCAGTTCATTCACCTCTTCTTAGTGCACTACTATATGAGTAGCTATTCTGTTACATTATTTTTAACACATTTAATGCTTTCTGCAGTAAATATTCTGAAATAGTGACATAATGACCGCTATCAGTTTTTTTGTTGTTGTTGATTCTTCATTTTTTTAAAGTATGGAACTTGCCATTTGTAATTTTCAAATGATACCATTTGGAACTAGGTGCATAGTCCTTTCTAGGCAAAAGACCTTGAAAGTCAAGAACCAAATACTTGCAGGTGGGGAAGACTAATGTGGTAGAAAAAACCCTGGGCTAACCCCAGAAACCAAGTCGAGGCTCTGCCTCTCATTGATTCTGTGTTCTCTCTTAATCTCACCCTCTATCCCCCCACCCCGTCCCCATCTATAAAATGCTGAGATCGAGCCAGATGATCAAAAAGAGCCTTTTCAGGTCTAACACGATTCTTGTGAAGGCTCATGCTTTGTAAATAGCCCATGTTTACAATGAAGGCAATATTGCCATTACTGAAGATTTACCAAACATTACGACTGTCCTAAACACAACAGCCCCATGCAGGTGGGTACTGTTACTACCCTCCTTTTGTAGTTGAGGAATCTGAGACTCAGGTAATTAACCCAAGGTGGTGTAGCTGGTAAGTTGTGAGCTGAGGCCCAAATATAGGTCTTTCTGACTCCCAACGCCTAATTGATTGTTCAATACTCCTTAAGGCTTTGTTGCAGCCCCAGCGTGGGAGCTGCTTCTGTGCCAGGGGCCCCAAACTATTTGTTTGGGGCTAACAGGGTTTCAAGCACCTCTCTCTAAAGCAGGGAGATGAAGTTGGGATCAGCAAAGTGGATATATTTTTAGGGACTTACTTAACCACTTATTTAACAGTATTTAAATGTGAGTGACACAGAGGCCATGAAAAGAAGTTTAATATTCTCATTAAGATGCTAAATTTCAGAGACATAATTAGGAAGAAATAAGTGATTAAATTACACACCGGGCCAACATTTTTCTGATTGTCGCATAGTTAACTGTCAACTCTGATGCTTTGGCAGGTTGGTGTCAGCTTGGTTAACCCAGAAGCATCCTTCCTCCTACCAGACTCTGCCATCAGGGGACCAACCGCTGTGCAGAGTAAACAGGATGGTGGTGGAGGGCCCTCAGACCAGGGGCCTGCCAGGCTTCTAAGAAGACTTCACATTTCCACAGATGAGCGCATGCATCCAGGGTTGCCAACTGTTTGGCCATGGAGTAGCTTTACGAAATATCAGGTTGCCATTATTTCATAAAATAGAATTTTTTTTAAGGTTTTTTTTTTTTTTTTAATTTGATAGCACAAGCAGGGAGAGCAGCAGAGGAAGAGGAAGAGGGAGAGGGAGAAGCAGGCTCCCCACCAAACAGGGAGCCCAATGTGAGACTCGATCCCACGACCCTGGGTTCATGACCGAAGCCAAAGGCAGACGCTTAACTAACTGAGCTTCCCAGGCGCCCCAAAATAAAGAGAATCTTAACAACCAAAAAAAGGGTAGGACATAATTTAGAAGAAAATGTGTGTCTTTACATAGAACAAATTTTGTTTTATGATTCTCTACGTGGTCCTTTGCTTCTACATTTCACCCCAAACTGGTGAAAACTTTTTCATGGCCCAGGCAAAAACTTTTTCATTGCACAGGTAAAATTCCAGGCAGCTCGTAAACAAGGTCATTTGCATAGCGAGAATTTATCATAGTATACCTCGCAATTGTTGATTCTAACATGCTTTTGAGATATAAGGCGTACAGGTGAAAAATGAATTGTCTGAATGTTGAAACCTACCTGGAGAGAATGAACCCCTCAGCTGTTTAAGGTACAAAAATAAGCATAGTCAGATAAAACACAGAAAAACAGAATGTGACAACAAATCAGACCCACAGAGTCACCAATGTACACAACTTTGAAGTTGATGCATAGTCTGTTTTTCCTTTAGAATGCTGCCACCAGAATGACCCCTCAAGTCTGCAGACCTGTTCCTGCTGTTGCTCACCAGGAAGAGCTCTCTGGTCTGAGATGTCAGAGGCCTTCCATGATCTGGCTGCAGCCTGTATTCAGATTTGGGTCATGTCTGTGTGCCTCCTTGTCATTCCCAGAACTCCATGCTCTCTAAACCCAGGAATCTTTCCTCATGGTGCTGCGCCTGCTTTTGCCAGAGACCCCAAACTCCCTTCATCTCAGGATCGAGGGGGCCATCCTGTTGTAGGTAGCCTCTACGATCTCACACTGTATCGTGATAGTCTCCACCGGTCTCCTCTCCAGACAAGGGTTTTGGCCCATAACACAGGGTATATAACAGCAGCGGGCCCTCAGTTGTGTTTAGGGCAAGAGGTACAAATGCCCTGCTGTACTTGCTGTCGAGACTCAAGGCATATTTGCTGTTTTTTTTTGTCTCCCTCAGTTTTGTCTCCCTCAGTTTAGCTTATACGAGCGTGATTTTTTTGTCACTCTGGCCTTCTCGTCATAATAGCAGCTCTGAAAACATCTCATTTCTTCAGAGGCCATCTACGATGTGTCTTGTATTTAATCCTGACTAGAAGTGTCTTGTCTGTTCTTGCCTTTTGCACTGGAAGTGAGTGCTTCTGAGGAAGCTTCTCAGCAGGAGGAATCTTAAGAAACCGCCCTGGCCTCCTGGCCCTGAGACACTGAGGGGAGGTGTGAGGAAAGTCATGTTCTCAATCACATCTTATTTTTTGGTGCAGTTTCACTGAGCCTGCCACGTCTTCAGCTAGGAGGCTTCTTCTCCCTCCCCACCTACTCCTGCCCAGCTTCTGATGTTTTCAAAGAGAAATCTTCCAGTAACTGCTGAGGCTTTTCAGTTAGTTTTAAAAATAAATACCACTCCGTGATCCCTGAGCATAAATTGGTGCTTCTAGCCACGTCTTTTAGAGTGGGAAAGGCAAGTGAAAGATATTATTCTTGTTGCTACTATCGAATGCTATCTTCCAGGATCTAAAGGAATAAGAAACTTTATAGTTTCTGTAGAAGTTCTGCTTCCCTTCTGAAAGCTGTCAGGGGAACATTGTGTAGTTTTGATCTCCAGTCTAAGCACACTGTGTGCTCTGATACACATCGACAACGAGGGCTGCTAGAGAGAGACTAGCTGAGCCACATGACAACCGAAACTCTCCTGTAAAAAATTTCTTGCAAATTCTGCATGTGGGTAGAGTCTGTATGCCTGGACACATCACATACAATTGGGATGACGCAGGAGGTGTGACGTGTTCCAGACCTTCGTGGACAGGCAGGGTGAATGGGCAGGGAGGTGCAGACAAAGAACGTGGGGAGGGCTGCTTTGGAGCAAATTGTCTAAGGCTTGTATGAAAGACAGGGGAAGGATATCCGGCTGTAATCGCTCTGACTTAAGCTAACCAACCAACCAACTGCCCTGGGCGCCCTTGATCTCCTTCCAGCTACCCTTTTCTCTGGTCCTTTTTCCTGCAAGATTCCTAGGAGGTGATTGCACTTGCTCACTCCCTCTGCTTTCCTTGTATTTTCTCTTTTTTCTTTCTTTTTTGAGAGAAAGAGAGAAAGCATGCAAGTTGGGGGCAAGGGAGAG